TTCACTGTAAACAAGCAGCAATTTAAATGAAGTTCCAAACATAGGTTCGGGAGGAGCCTAGTCATTCAGTCTTGTCAATCATCATTACAAGCCTATATAAGCAGCTCTCATTGCACCGTCCCAGCATCAATTCTTCTGGCATCCCTCTCCCTCTCCATCTCCTCCTCTATTTCTGTTTTTCTCGCTCTAGGTAGTACCGCAATGGGGGGTTGAACTCAGCGCTCAAGCCAAGCCTCGGGTTGGAGCCTCCATTAAGGACAGCAAGCCAAGTTTGTTTACCATTAACCATCAGGACTGGGTGGACAGGCGAACTCGTGAATATATACTTTAATGTATTTGAGGAGTTGTATCCATAGGCATTCCCTCCCTGGCCCACTTTAAATCACTTTCATTAGGGAATTAGTGGAAAATCCAGTGTTTTTCTTTAACCTACAGTCTCTCTTTCTCTCTCTGTCTTCCACCCACACCTTCTGCCTTGTTCTTCTGACTAACCTTGCTCTGTGGAGGCTTTAAGTAAAGGATAGATGTCCCTTGTCGAGGTCCTGAAGACCCTGTCAGGGTTTGTTTTAAATATAATATTCGACCTGGCCCATTCAAATTGAAAACGAAAACGACACCAACAATAACCACACCAACGCAGACTGTTGTGTAGTGTGAAATGAACAGCAATCCGATGAATTTGAAAGCAGTATAGCGTATGGGCGACATTATCATTATTGGTGTGAACAGGCTTTTACTGTAGGCTACATGATCACATTTAATACACAGCTAATTAAATAAACACACCAACTTTAAGCAGTAATGTGTTGATATAGTGCATTACAACGTAAAAAATCTTTTATTTTTTTTATTTAAAATTATTTTTAACATATTTATTTTAGGAGTAATCTGCAATCAGAGTGGCTTTAATATGCACTAGTTAGTGAACATTTTTACTATTGTAATAATAACTGTTTTGAAGGTGACACAGTTGTATATGAAAAGAGAATGATAGAAGTTACACTGGAATGAATGATAAAATTAGACAGTTCAATGGTCATCTTACAAAACCTATCATCGCCCACTGCTGTAATTAACCAATCAGAATCAAGTATTCCAAAGAGCCATGTAAAATAAGTTCACTAAACCTCCAACAATAACCACACCAACGCAGACTGTTGTGTAGTGTGAAATGAACAGCAATCCGATGAATTTGAAAGCAGTATAGCGTATGGGCGACATTATCATTATTGGTGTGAACAGGCTTTTACTGTAGGCTACATGATCACATTTAATACACAGCTAATTAAATAAACACACCAACTTTAAGCAGTAATGTGTTGATATAGTGCATTACAACGTAAAAAATCTTTTATTTTTTTTTATTTAAAATTATTTTTAACATATTTATTTTAGGAGTAATCTGCAATCAGAGTGGCTTTAATATGCACTAGTTAGTGAAAATTTTTACTATTGTAATAATAACTGTTTTGAAGGTGACACAGTTGTATATGAAAAGAGAATGATAGAAGTTACACTGGAATGAATGATAAAATTAGACAGTTCAATGGTCATCTTACAAAACCTATCATCGCCCACTGCTGTAATTAACCAATCAGAATCAAGTATTCCAAAGAGCCATGTAAAATAAGTTCACTAAACCTTCTCTCCATGTCGCTTTCAGCTGAATCTGAGGGTTTTCACTGCAGTCCTTGGTCCAAGGTCAAAAGGTCAGAAAGTCTCTCTCAAGCATGTCTGTCTTTCACCCCTAACTCTACAACAGGCCCTCAGCTTCATAATGCAGCAACTGAAGTATCCTAAGCCAAGAGATCTCAGGGCTGCTAACAAAGGCTTGTGAAGCATATGAGAGAGCCCCTTGTCCTTTGCCATGGTTTACAAGGATTTCTGCCCAAATTTGCTGTTTTGAGCCTTCAACACATTGTTGAGGGCTTTGTTTGGAAGGGTGTAGGCACAGCAGTTTTTCCACAATGTCCCAGTGATAGAGTGGGGCTAAATCTAAAGAGTGCCTGAGCAGCTTTCTTGGGGGGAGAGCATTTAATTTTTTTGTCAGGCTGAAAATAAACATGTAGCTGAGTGGATGCTCAGCAGGAGGCCTCTGCCAGGCGAGTCATGTGCAGCTCAGATAGCCTTTGATACTAAGGCTTTATACAATGAACAGTGCTTGAATATAAGATGTCAGGCAGATAATTTGGATTTAGTACAGTCATTATTTCACTGAAGGCCTCAGCAGAATATATTTGGAAGCAAACAAATATTAGAATTGACATAAGTGATGCATCAGTTTTTACCTCTATTTACAGGCTCAAGAATCACTGTTTTTCTTCAGATATTTTAAGAATGAAGAAATGTGATATTGCAAAACATTTTTATCTGCTGCTTTTCATTAAAAAAGTAGCATGATTAAAAACTAGGGAGACTGAATTAAAAGAGCTAATGTTTCTATGATACTAACCCTGTGTTCCAGTTAGCAGACTTTCAACCCCAAATAGTATTTAAGATTTCTAATATCAAATTACTAATTAGGGTGTATATGCAAACAGGGTATTTTGAGTTGAGTTGGGTATTGCATATTTACAAGGTTAAAGGGTTAGTTCACCCCAAAATGAAAATTCTGTCATTAATTACTCACCCTCATGTCGTTCCAAACCAGTAAGACCTTCGTTCATCTTCGGAACACAAATTAAGATATTTTTTATTAAATGTGAGAGCTCTCAGACCCTATAAAGACAACAACGCAACTGTAATGTTCCCAAGTCCAGAAACTTAGTAAGGACATCGGTAAAACAGTCCATGTGACATCAGTGACTCAACTTCATATGCTACGAGAATACTTTTTGAGTGCAAAGAAAACAAAAATAACTTAATTTATTTAACAATTATTCTCCCCCGAGTTACGTCTTCCGCAATTTTGGAGAGTACCCAAGAGCGTAATCGACATAATTAGCGTTGTTTATGTTCGGAGGAGAAAGTGCGCGCATGAACTTAATCTGAGTACTGAAAACTCGTAGCTTCGCAAAACTGAAGTTGAGCCACTGATGTCACATGGACTGTTTTACCGATGTCCTTACTACGTTTCTGCACCTGGGAACATTACAGTTGCATTGTTGTCTATGCAGGGTCTGAGAGCTCTTACATTTCAACACAGGTCTTACAGGTTTGGAACGACATGAGGGTGAGTAATTCATGACAGAATTTTCATTTTGGGGTGAACTATCCCTTTAAGACACATGAATGCCACCACAAAGTTGTAATTATGAGTGGGAAACTTAAACTCATGATTTGCTTTGAGCAATGAGTTTCTGAATTTGGGGGCATATCAGAGAGAAAACACGGTGAATGCAATGAATGCAGTGTCTGTAATTGACAACAGACTCTCAGTTTATTCTTTATTGATCATTTTGTAGAAGTAGAGTATTTTTTGCAGAAAAGGTACATTGCCACCAACAGTCAGTTACCATTAAATCAGACTCGACACACTCAATAGAATGTTATATTATAAGCATTAGTAAATCTTTAATAACTCCCGTGCTGCTTCTAAAATATGTTGTTAATTAAATTGACTGCTTTTACATCGTTCTCCTTAGTTTATGACATCACCACTCAGAGAGCTTTCAATTAAATTGCAGTGCTTTGGGGTACAAGTGTCTTTAGAAAGGTTGGTGAAGCCAGCACAGTGTGTACATGCTATCTTCTTCTTCACACTGGGTATGTTGCTCTCCCCCATTCTGAAGCTGTCAGAGAGCAGCGGTGTTCTGCCACTGGGACAGTGATGTTGTATAGTCTCACTGCTGTGTTCTCCTTCTCAAAGCACTCTTTACTTCATATGACTAGAAACTGCTCACAGGCCACCAAAGAAAACACATTTACCAGTTACCATTTTGCTGAGTCAAAAACTCACACATGCAAGGTCAAATGTATGTGTTTTCTTGTTTAACTGTCCAATGGGTCCCAGTGGAATATTTTATTGCCACCAGTACTTAACCCTTAAAGGGACAGTTCACCCAAAAAATTAAAATTCTGTCATTATTCATTCATTCATTCATTCATTATGTCATTCCAAATCTGTATGAATTTCTTTATTCTGTTGAGCATAAAAGAAGATCTTTTGAGAAATGGTTACCAAAATGGTTCGGTTACCAACATTCTTCAAAATATCTAAATATATTTCTATCATGACAACTCTCTGAAGAATTTAGCATAGTAATTGATATGACAATGTTAATGAATTTGGTCTTAAAAGAGCTAATGTTTCTATGATACTAACCCTGTGTTCCAGTTAGCAGACTTTCAACCCCAAATAGTATTTAAGATTTCTAATATCAAATTACTAATTAGGGTGTATATGCAAACAGGGTATTTTGAGTTGAGTTGGGTATTGCATATTTACAAGGTTAAAGGGTTAGTTCACCCCAAAATGAAAATTCTGTCATTAATTACTCACCCTCATGTCGTTCCAAACCAGTAAGACCTTCGTTCATCTTCGGAACACAAATTAAGATATTTTTTATTAAATGTGAGAGCTCTCAGACCCTATAAAGACAACAACGCAACTGTAATGTTCCCAAGTCCAGAAACTTAGTAAGGACATCGGTAAAACAGTCCATGTGACATCAGTGACTCAACTTCATATGCTACGAGAATACTTTTTGAGTGCAAAGAAAACAAAAATAACTTAATTTATTTAACAATTATTCTCCCCCGAGTTACGTCTTCCGCAATTTTGGAGAGTACCCAAGAGCGTAATCGACATAATTAGCGTTGTTTATGTTCGGAGGAGAAAGTGCGCGCATGAACTTAATCTGAGTACTGAAAACTCGTAGCTTCGCAAAACTGAAGTTGAGCCACTGATGTCACATGGACTGTTTTACCGATGTCCTTACTACGTTTCTGCACCTGGGAACATTACAGTTGCATTGTTGTCTATGCAGGGTCTGAGAGCTCTTACATTTCAACACAGGTCTTACAGGTTTGGAACGACATGAGGGTGAGTAATTCATGACAGAATTTTCATTTTGGGGTGAACTATCCCTTTAAGACACATGAATGCCACCACAAAGTTGTAATTATGAGTGGGAAACTTAAACTCATGATTTGCTTTGAGCAATGAGTTTCTGAATTTGGGGGCATATCAGAGAGAAAACACGGTGAATGCAATGAATGCAGTGTCTGTAATTGACAACAGACTCTCAGTTTATTCTTTATTGATCATTTTGTAGAAGTAGAGTATTTTTTGCAGAAAAGGTACATTGCCACCAACAGTCAGTTACCATTAAATCAGACTCGACACACTCAATAGAATGTTATATTATAAGCATTAGTAAATCTTTAATAACTCCCGTGCTGCTTCTAAAATATGTTGTTAATTAAATTGACTGCTTTTACATCGTTCTCCTTAGTTTATGACATCACCACTCAGAGAGCTTTCAATTAAATTGCAGTGCTTTGGGGTACAAGTGTCTTTAGAAAGGTTGGTGAAGCCAGCACAGTGTGTACATGCTATCTTCTTCTTCACACTGGGTATGTTGCTCTCCCCCATTCTGAAGCTGTCAGAGAGCAGCGGTGTTCTGCCACTGGGACAGTGATGTTGTATAGTCTCACTGCTGTGTTCTCCTTCTCAAAGCACTCTTTACTTCATATGACTAGAAACTGCTCACAGGCCACCAAAGAAAACACATTTACCAGTTACCATTTTGCTGAGTCAAAAACTCACACATGCAAGGTCAAATGTATGTGTTTTCTTGTTTAACTGTCCAATGGGTCCCAGTGGAATATTTTATTGCCACCAGTACTTAACCCTTAAAGGGACAGTTCACCCAAAAAATTAAAATTCTGTCATTATTCATTCATTCATTCATTCATTATGTCATTCCAAATCTGTATGAATTTCTTTATTCTGTTGAGCATAAAAGAAGATCTTTTGAGAAATGGTTACCAAAATGGTTCGGTTACCAACATTCTTCAAAATATCTAAATATATTTCTATCATGACAACTCTCTGAAGAATTTAGCATAGTAATTGATATGACAATGTTAATGAATTTGGTCTTGGTGGAACAGATCTGCTACACTGCTGAATTGTTGCTGCTGTTGGTTATTGCTGTTGTTGTAGATTATTGCTGCTGCTGCAAAGCAAGTACAGGAACTTGCTGCTGCCAATACATACGCCGATACGGTGCTGTGAGTATTTAAGACATACTGCTGCTTCACAAATAGCATACAAATTAACCCGTAGCAGATCTAGCAGATACAGGTGGAGCTGGGGAAGGTGGAGGGTTTCAGAGGAACTCTGAAAGCGCAATGCGAACTGTTACGGTGTATGCTAACTAGCCATTTAAATGTAAAGCAGCAAATTAATTGGCTGCATATGCAGCAACATTAACCAATCAGCTTGTGCCAAGTAGTTTAAGGGGATAGTTTGCGCAAAAATGAAAATTCTGTCATTAATTACTCACCCTCATGTCGTTCCAAACCTGTAAGACCTTCGCTCATCTTCGGAACACAAATTAAGATATTTTTGATGAAATCCAAGAGTTCTCTGACCCTGCATAGACAGCTACGCAACTGAAATGTTAAGTAGGTCACCTGCTTAAGTAGGTGTTTCACTAGTCATCGTGATTTTGATTGGTAGGTCAAACATGCAGATTCAATGAGAAAAAGTATTAAATTCAATACACGTTCTGTTCTGCATCTCTTTTCTTGTTTTAGTAATTTAAGTTTAATTTTGTTCTCTAGCAAATAAAATGATACGAAAATGATCAAATGAACTTTAATGAGGATTGTAAGTGGAAATCAGCTAGTAAATGGCCTAAATCATCCAAACACGGTAGCTGGTTTCTGGTCCAAGCTGGTCTAACCAGCTACAATGCTCAAAAGCATCTTAAGCTTTATATGGAAACTCACTTGTACTTGAAATATTGTCTACCTTGCTTGAATGTAATGAATAAATTCTTTCAAAATCCCAAAATGGCTGCACTAAATTAGAAATAAATATGATAATCTCGGAGAATAACCCTTCGATCATTTTCTAGTTGGCATCTGGCTTCAGTTTGATCTGGCGCAGAAGTTCAAATATTTAGATAAGTTGCTGCATCCATACTTTCCACATTTGCTTTGTCATTTGTTTTCAATGAGCATTTCCTTTTTCTGGTGCCATCTCAGGCTTAATGTCAATGTTGAGATGGAAATATGGATTTCAGATAAGTAAGCACCTTTCACCACTGCAATTATGGCCAAACTCACATGTTGATATTTCCAGACAGTATTGATCTCTGGTCTCCAACTAAGGGTGTCCATTTACGTAATAATATCAACATGAGAAGGTGCCATTTGTGCTTTCTGTTTATCTAAGTGCTTAATTACCTTTCCTATAGGCTGTAAACAATGCCGTTTCCATTACGTCAAAGCAATTTCTAGCATTGTTTAAACAGAAAGACTTGAGGGATGATATTAATGGCAAACTTTGATATTCTCAGAATGAAATAAAAGCATTTAAATAGAGCAGCTGTCCAAATACTTAGTAGTTTCCCTGAACTTACATTCTGAAAATTAATATGTAATTACCTTCCATAGCTTTTTAGTATCACTGTCTGTCGCAGACCAAAAGCCAATAATGGGGTACATTCAAAGTACTGTACATTCAGATAAAACTGTAGAGACACCTGGATTTTTCCAAGCATCATAGTGTTAATTGTGTGTTGCTGTGGAAGATTTGTGAATCTCAGTCACAGGTGCCGCTGCAGTAAAAATAATGAGGTGCGTTCATCCTTTATCGTCAACCTTGTGAGGTCAACCTGTTATCATAAATGAATGCTGTAAGCTTCTGAATCCCCAGACATCCTCCTTTGGGCCTCTTTTTATCTCTGTATGTCTGTTTGGCCCTTTCGTGTATTTTTTTTATGCTAAAGCTGATTAAAATAAGCAGTATGGTTAGCAATAATAGGCTATTTTTAGCTGCAAGAGTTTCTATTTTTAATATTTTTTATATTATGAATTCTTATATATTTTTAATATTTAATATTTTAAAGTCCAAGAAAGCTGCCATATAGGACAGCACATCAGAATACAAAAAAATCACACATGTTATTTATTTATTTGTTTGTTTGTTTAAAGGGATACTTTTGAAAAATTTTGATTTTTAGAAAAATTTTGAAGAGCTTTCTGGCCCTGCATAGACAGCAACGCAGCTGACACGTTCAAGGTCCAAAAAGGTAGTAAGGACATTGTTAGTGTATTCTCATAGCTTCGTACAATTGAGGTTGAACCACTGATGTCACATGGACTATTTTAACAATGTCCTTACTACCTTTCTGGGCCTTGAACATGGTAGTTCTGTTGCTGTCTATGCAGGATCAGAAAGCTCTCGGAAATCTATTTTTTCTTTATTTAATTTATACTGAAATGAATTTAAAATGTATCATTTTATTAATGATTTGTGTTCAAAAATGCAGACTCAGACAAACACTGGTGAGTGTTCATGCATCACTGAGACGTGTTTGGACAGAAGCAGTGCGGGTTGTCAGTCACACTCATTAAAACCATGCCAACCTTCATCAAAGACCCTTAGGCGGCAGAAAGCAGAAAGAAGGAAAAACATTTCTTTCAGTGAGGTCAGATTCCAGGCCTGTAGTTATTTTCTCTTGAGAATCCTGTGGATGGCAGATCCCCTGTGGTTAACCGTTTTTGGGCCAGTTCCATTTCAAATTAAGCAGTTCAGCTGCAGCACTGAAGAAACTCAGCCCTAGATTTGGATTGAGAATTTTCAAGCAATCAACAGAAGCGGTTGTTCTAAATGTGAATAAGCGGAAACTCGAAAGGCCTGGCAGTTCCATATTTATTTCCTATCTAGAAACTCACAAACGGACTATAGTTCAGAAGTTAAAAACAACTGAAATATCTTTATTGGTCTAGAGGGAAAAAAATATTCTCAGATGTTGATCATTCATTGCTTAGAAAGCAGAATGGAGGTCTCAGTTACATTCAAGTATCAATTCTATCTCAGATGTTTCACCTAAAATAGCATAAAATAAATAAAAATTGACACATTAGTAAAACAGGAAATGCAGTAAATATAAAAATAAAATAAAATTTAAAAATCTGAAAATTAAAAAAAAATCTAAATATTAATAAAAACACCAGGTTACTGTGGTCTTTTTTTCAACAGAAATATCTGATAAGTAGAAGAGACTCAAAAAAATTGTAACTCAGTCCTGAAAGCTACTGAGAAAGTGGTAATCATTTAAAGGGGTCATATGATGTTGCTAAAAAGAACATTATTTTGTGTATTTGGTGTAATGAAATGTGTTTATGCGGTTTAAGGTTCAAAAAACACATAATTTTCCACATACTGTACATTATTGTTTCTCCTCTATGCCCCGCCTTTCTGAAACGCGTCGATTTTTACAAAGCTCAGTCTGAAAAGCGAGGTGTGCTCTGATTAGCCAGCTATCCAGTGCATTGTGATTGGCCGAATACCTCAAGCGTGTGACGGAAATGTTACGCCCCATGCCATATTGTGATGCCTTGTCCCGGCCGGAGTGACGAGACAAAAACATTAAAACCCATTATAAACGAGGCATTTGTTGCATCCAGTGGGGACATAATTATGGATTATAATGACTTATACTGTCTTTTTACATAAACATAAAACCATGTCTGCATTTGTGATCGGAGAAATGACAAACTTCAAGTGCTACTCTACACTGCTCAAAACTCTCATTTGAATCGTCAGTGGCAAATTATTTATATATAAATACGTACTTACAGTCTGTGAGTCAGAACAGCCAGCATTGTAGTCTACTCTGTCAGGATCAGGAAACAGTCCTCCATAAAATGCGTTGGACACATTTGAATATTTGGGTTGAACTGTTTTGGAACAGTGTTGTAAATACAGCTTGACCACTGATTTCTAGTCGTGTCCTCTTTTGGAAGGCCAAACAAAGTAGTTTCGCTTTCACAACGAAACACAGCATCACACACGGAGGGCTTGAGTGAGCGGAGGCTGGAGGCCTAGAG